ATATTTTATTTTATTCTGGCAGCCACATAGCCAAGTGAATTAATTATTAGTGGTTAATAAAAATACTCAGAAACAGAAAAAAAAAGTTTCGTATTTCATGATAATGAATAAACTTGAATTGATGATAGGCTCTGGGATGAAATGGGAAGAAAAAGGCAAGTAGAAAAGATTACTTTAATTCGTTTGATGTCCAGTGTGTGGTCCTACTTCCACATTGAGAAGGGTCTGAACCAGCCCAAGAGCCAAGCTCCCTGCCTTGAGGATGTTAGGAAGGAGCAGTATGGGAGTGGCAGTCAGCAGCTTACTTTATACTGAAAGCAGCCTGTACAGAATAAATTCAAAACCAGGAGGCCTCTTGTTGTCATCACCTGCTTCTATTTTTTTGTCCTATAATGTAAGAAGAGTTCTTAAAATTTATAAATGACAAATATCAAGAAAATGAACTTTTTCTATAACTTTAAATAATATAAAATTAGATAGCATCAAATTTGATAATACTTCACCTCTGTGCCTGTATGTTAATGCCTAGAGAGAAATGCATATGGCTTTATTTTTGTATTTCATTTAGCCTGAAAGTAAAATGAAGTTAGCTATATTTCTTCTTCCCTTTCTCCTTCTCCTCCTCCTCCTCCACCTTCTCCTCCACCTTCTTCTTCTTCTTCTTCTTCTTCTTCTTCTTCTTCTTCTTCTTCTTCATAGTCATTTCTTAAATCTATTGAAGCCCCATGATCAATGCAAAACCACCCCTGTCCCCTCCACCCACCCACCAACACACATACATATATACAGACTTCTTTTTCCTTTTGGAAAATATGTGTGTTAACTGAACTAGAGATCTAAAATATTTTACTATTCAAACAAGAGTATTTCTCACACAGTATGGGTATCACAAAGCTTTTGAACTAATTTTTTTTACTCCTATAATTTCTATAATTCTTCACTTTACAAGCCTGATATGGTCACAAACTAGAGAACTGTAGAAGCTTATTGTAAACAGGGTCAAAGAGACTTAAAAAAATGAATTTTGGCAGTTAATTGTTAGATTCACCCTCCCACACATCAACTCTGTGGCCACGTTTGACCGTTGTCAGCTTTCCCATTCACAGTGTTCTAAGATAGGGAGACAAAAAAGCAGATTTCTCAAGTTCAGATAAGAAAGTTGATCCTGACAGCACAATGATGAATTCTGTTCAGAGAAAATGCTATTGCAAGTGGCTCTTTCTAGACTAACCATTAAGAAGTAGAGTTGTTCCCTCTACCTCCTCCATTCTTATCATTCAAGCAAAATACAAATTGAGAAAGTAGGAATATGGAGTGTAGAAGATTAATGTTCTTTATTTTGTAAAACGGTAAGATTTTACTTAAAAGTAATAGGTTACAGGGGCGCCTGGGTGGCGCAGGCGGTTAAGCGTCCGACTTCAGCCAGGTCACGATCTCGCGGTCCGCGAGTTCGAGCCCCGCGTCGGGCTCTGGGCTGATGGCTCAGAGCCTGGAGCCTGTTTCCGATTCTGTGTCTCCCTCTCTCTCTGCCCCTCCCCCGTTCATACTCTGTCTCTCTCTGTCCCAAAAATAAATAAACGTTGAAAAAAAAATTAAAAAAAAAAAGTAATAGGTTACAGACAAATAATATGGAGAATGGCTGAAGGCCTGTCCTGTTGAAAGAACTATTAAATGCTCTCCTGGTAGAAAAGAGAGTCTCCAAGCCTGGCATGCTTCCTTTGGGAATTGTGATTATTCTCCAGCTTTGGAAATGAGGAAAGCCCCAGCTGTGGGAAGTGGTTTCTCTTCCTTTTCCCCATGGGTGGTTCTGGGGGAAGAGAATCTGGAAATCCAGCATTAAAGACATTTAAGCTACACATTTCCCCAAATCAGTATTTCCTCAATGCATCACATTGTGGGTGGGTGGAGGGAAGATTATTTTCTACATCAGTTCTAGCATGTAGGGAAAAGGTCTGGAAATAAAAATTACTGACAGATTAGAGATAGAAGAAGGGAATGCAAATTTGTTGAGTACTTCATTTGTGTCACACACCAATCTATTACCATAGTGTCTTGTTTACTTCTTATTATTTGTTTGTTTACTTTAGAGAGAGAGAGACCAAGAGCAGGGGAGGGGCAGAGGGAGAGAGAGAATCTGAAGCAGGATCCATGCCCAGTGTGGAGCCTGAGGCAGGGCTCATCCTAGAACCTTGAGATCATGACCTGAACCGAAATCAAGAGTCTGATGCTCAACCGACTGAGCCAGCCATTTGCCCCAAGACTGTATAATTCCAGACTTGCGCGGGTGGGATTGAACCACCAGCATTTCAGTTCACAGCCCAATTCGCTAGCCAATTGCAACTGCACCACAGAGACTACCCTCCAGCTTACTTTTTAGATGAGGAATGAGACTCAGAGAGATTAGGCAACTTGACCGAGTTTGCGTGGCTAGAATAAGCAGAATCAGGATTCGAACTAGGATCTGTCAGCTCCCAAAGCCTGCATACAACCTCTCCACTTCATTACTCTGAACATCCAAGAGCTGAGAAGCAAAGCCTTTATAAACGATCATCTTTCCTGGTTAAAACAATCAAATAAGCAAATGAACAAATCTTGTTTATATTGTTTCACTTTGTATAATAGCTTGCTTAGAAAGAGATAAAAAGCAAGGCTTTCCCAATAGGGCTGCTTCTGTCTTTTGCTTCTTGAAGTCATTCTTAGAGTGCAGGGTATCTGGGATGGCTCAAAAGGTCCTAGAAGAACAAGTGTCATAGATATAGCTTTGCTAACCAAGGCTGTCAGGTAATGGCCAGTCTGAAAGTATACCTGGGGTGATTATACACTCATACACATACACATATGTGTATTTATAAATTGCATGATTATATTATATATAAATTATTTAGTGATCTTTGGATTTAAAAATACCTTAATAAAAACTCTGGTTTTGAGTCTAGGATCCTATTCTGGGTAGTAATAAATAACTGAATTTGATTTTGAGGATAGCTGTGAACTGTTATTCTTAAACTTCAGTGTTCCTAAGAATCACCTGCAAGGTTGTTAAAACACAGATTCTTGGGCTACCTCCCAAGATGCTGGTCCAGGATGTCTGCAAATGGCACCTAAGGTTTGCATAGCCATCAAGCTCTCACTTGTGCTGATGCTCTGGTCCAGGGGGCCACACTTGGAATAAGTCTGGCTGGGAACTTGAACAAGACAGTAGAAAAATAGGGAGAAATTCTGAACGTTTTCTTTCTGATATTCAGGCTTAAGCCAGCTGCAGGCATAAGACTGGAATTCATTCTTTTTCTCTGATAATTTCTTGATTCAATTCAGTTCAATTCAGGATATATTTTTGAGCATCTTCTCTGTTTCAAACATGGTACCATGGGCTGTGAATGAAATTTAATCTTAATGACTTTAACAAAATAGTTGCTAAAAGCTTTCATATTGTTCTAAGCTAGAGTTTAAGAAACAAATGATTTATTCCCCACCCCCCCACCTTTTTTTAGAAAATACTTTTAATGTTTTCCAGACTTTTTCTCCTAACTGAGCAGTTAACAATTTGATGATAGAGTCAAGAATCCAAATATTTCTTGCTATGCTCACCCTTGTCTAAGCCACCATCTCGCCTATTGCAATGATGGCTTCCTAATTGCTTTCTCCACATCGGTGTTGTTCTCCCTGCGACACACTAGCCACGAAATACCCCACCATAAACAGATAATTGCACTTTCCCGGTAACAATCCTCCAGTGTTCTCACTTCACTAACAGTAAAGACAGTCATTAGAAGCATGGGCAAGCCCATGTCCACCTATGCCCTCAACTCTATGACTTCATCTCCCGTTACTCTCCTCTCTCTCTTCTAGGTGCACAGCTCGCCTTGCTATTTCTTAAACATAGGAGGCATTTTCTGCCCTGGGAAGTGCTGCTCATGTTGTTCCTTCTACATGGAATGCTATTCCTCCAAATATTTACATGGCTTCCTTCCTTATCACCCAAATCTTAGCTCAAATACCATCTGTTTAGTGAGGCTCTCTCTGGCCACCTAATTTAAATAATAACCCCCCTGCACATAATTTCTACTAACTTTCCCTGTGTTATGCTTCTCCTTAGTATTTCTCAACATATAGCATATTATATATTTTTATGTTTTTTATCAATTGCCTGTTTCCATATAATATATACTTAAGGTTTTTTTTTTGTTTATTTATTTACTTTGAGAGAAACAGAGACAGAATAAGTGAGGGAGGGGCAGAGAGCAAGGGAGAGAGAGAGAATCTCAAGCAGGCTCTGCACCGCCAGCTCAGAGCCTGATGTGGGGCTTGAACTCATGAAACTGTGAGATCGTGACCTGCGCCGAAACCAAGAGTCAGATGTTTAACAGACTGAGCCACCCAGGTGCCCCCTATGTGATACTGTTTTAAAAACATTTACATTATTAGCACAAAACTAGAAGTACTGCAGACAGTCATCAAGCTTTACATGTCTCTTTGTGTATGAATCCAGGTTGAGTTTTCTTACTTCTGGAAGCTTTTCCTCACCCAGCCCATTTTCATTTCTCATATATACAGTGGGTGCTTAATTGTTCTTATGTGTGTATACTATTTCATGTAATCTTCAAGTGTATGTACAGATGCTATGTATGTGCTATTGAAATTTACTCAATATATGGAATGGCCTCTACTGGATTGAAGATGAAGTAGTACTTTTAAACAATTATAATTTTTATCTTTGTTTAGAAACTCAAAGGAAAAACCCTAATTAGAGGTGATGATTGATATAAAAAATCAATAAATATAGTACCAACTTTTATCCTGATTTTTAAAAGCCATTTGGAGAGATAAATGGTTATGAGTAAGAATTTAGAGGGTGAAAATGAAATTCAAAAAAAATTTTTGATTTTATGTAATTGCCATTTCTACATTTCTTCTTCTCCTTCCCCTTCTTCTCTTCCTTCTCCTTCTACTTCTCCTCTGCTTTCTGCTCTTCATTTTCTTCTTTCTTCTACCATTTCTGTCTTCTTCCGACTGTATATAGTCTTAATTTTGTTTTATTTTTAAAACAAATATTCATCCTTTCTCCTTAGGAAAAAAATTTCACAATTAATTTAATGCTTCCAGAGAGCTAATATCAAAGTCATGGATCTGTTGGATGGGCAGGCTAATCCTGGGTGGATGGAGAGGATTAACTTTTTCCTGGGCAAAAAAAAAAAAAAAAAAAAGAATAGCTGATTATTCATTAATTAAATCATATATATCTAGGCTGTCTTACATCTTTTGGGAGACACAGAAAAATATTGAAACATGATCTTAGCCTATGAGGAATTTATAATCTAACTGGGAAATGTGAACTAATTAGTTAGCTATATATGATAGCAGGTGGATATAATTAATGTGTTAAACTTTAACTGTATTGATATTAAAATGATGACATCAATTATGACTTTCACTTAAGTGAAAGTTCCCTGTGTTATCCAAGTATTGCCTTTAATGTGCCTAATCAGGCTGAATGGATCACCAAACTGAAGTTGATGTCTAAGAGTAGAGTCATACTGCCTGTGTGAACTGAGGGGTCCCCCTAATGGTTAAACAGTTCCCCAGAGCTCAAGTGGGGTTTCTTTTCTTTTTTTAAATGCATATTTATTTTTATTTTTGAGAGAGAGAGCACATGCAGGGGAGGGGCAGAGAGAGAAGGAGACACAGAATCCGAAGCAGGCCCCAGGCACTGAGCTGTCAGCACAGAGCCGGATGTGGGGCTCAAACTTCCGAACTTGAACTCAGTGAGATCATGACCTGAGCTGAAATCAGATGCTTGGCTGACTGACCCACCCAAGCGTCCCTCAAGTGGGACTTCTTAATAGACATAGGAACTTCTCTGGTACTTTGTCTGATCTTCTGATCTTCCTGGTCCCATCTCTTCTATGAAACTAGAACAATGACTTTTTGAAGTTTTATAACCAGCAAGTCCTGTGTCCTTCATCTTCCCTTCTGGGCTTCTGTCTATAAATACTTGGGAGTGTTGACTCAGGAGCAAATATGGGCAACCGTTATTTTCTGTACCCTCGCAGTTCTTTTTTTGGTTCCAAAGACTGGCTGTGAGCTTTTTAATTTGCTCACAGTACTTTTTGTTATGTGTTCACACTCTCAGCTTTCTGACTTTGGGGAGATCTCTTTCCTTCCCTCCTGCCTCAGCACCAGCCTTCAGTAGCAATTGTTTATATCCATTGAGAGCCTGAAAAGCCTTGGAAGGATTTTTCTTGGCTTGTCCCAGTCTTCAGTGCACTGCTTCTTTCAGGGAAGGCCATCTGTGCCTCAAGGAGGGTCTCTTAGTTCTCTTATCCCCATATTTAAGCCCATATACCTTGAAGGTTTGTAGGCAAATGGTTGGTGGAGCAGACTTGCTCCCAGGTCAGGGCTCCTAGGGATTCTAATTCATTATGCCAACCCTCATGTAGTCATTAATAGATAATTAAGGATTTAAATAGTTTTTCTTATGCTAACATATGATAGATTCCTGATCTTTCTTCACCATTCTGTCAGGGAAGAAAGCAGAATTTGGTTTACTTCTCTTCTAAGAAGGACTCACCGCTTTTTGGATTATGCTCCTTTAGGTTTCTTTCCATCATCAACTCTGATTATTTTTGACCATGGTTTTTGTTGCTTGTAAAATGTTTTCTCATTAGAGGGTGTGTGCCAGTCTCCTGTGACATTCTGGGCGATTTCTTACAGCACAGGTCCCAATTCAATTTCATGGTCCTTACAGAAAAATTTAATAAATACTTTTACTTGAGTGGAGTGAAGGTAAAGGATGTTTTATACAAATCTTTGAAAGATGAAGGTTAATTTTACAGAAGTTCTTTATGGTCACAGAACATATTTTTGAAAACCTCATAGCTTGGTGCAGAATTAAAAATATATTTTTTAAACATTTGAAAAACATTTTTTTTTTGTTTTTAGAGAAAGACAGAGAGAGGGCAAGCGGGAGGGGGCAGAGGGAGAGAGAGAGAATCTTGAGCAGGCTCCACGTTCAGCATGGAGCCCAATGAGGGTCTCAATCCCACCGTCTAGGCCAAAATCAAGAGTGGGATGCTCAACCAACCACCCAGGCACCCCTAAAATTTTTTTTGACAGAAGAAGATGATAGAACAGATTATGAGAACTTACAAGACCATCAATGACATCCTTTTTTGAAATAAATATTTATACCTTATCTCATTAAATAAAAAAATACATTCAATTATGTATATATACTCATACTTAAGTATATATAGGTGCATATATTATATATAGAATGTGCATATTATATATATATAATTCTTATATATATATAATTCTATATATTAAATTCTTTTAAAACGTATATTTATACTTCATCTCCAGTAAGATATATTCATTATTAAAAAGTCAAAAGACAGGGGTGTCTGCATGGCTCAGTCAGTTAAGCTTGGGACTTTCAATCTCAACTCAGGTTTTGATTTCAAGGTCTTGATCTTAGGGTCATGAGTTCAAGCCCCTCAATGGTCTCTGCTTTGGGCATGAAGCCTACTTAAAAAAAAATTCAAAAGATAAAAATAGAAAGTGAGTATTTCCTTAATGTTACCTTTAAAGATGATCACTGTGAGTTTCTTGGTACATATATTTCTATATTTTTAAATTGTCCATATACAGAACTATCTAGATTTTTAAAAACAAAATAGAGATCATGTTAAGAATTGTATGACATGATCTATTTTAATTATTATATATGGAAAGATAATACTCTATTATGCACTTTCCTAATCAATTATTTTCACAAAAAGCATGCCTAAGTACATGTGTTAAGCAAAATTAAAAATAAAACTTGAATATGTAAATGATTTTAAAAATAATTGTGTTTTGCCCTGAATAATTTTTCATATATCAGTGAGGAAGGCAGATTTGTAAGACAGCTTGTCATGTTAATTAAATTCAGACAAGTTAGGATGTTTGTATTAAACTGAAAGAAAACCAAAACAGTCTGATATTACAAGAACTGTAAGTTGTAAAATTGATTGTTTACAGTCAATATAAAAGAATGAAACTTTGAAGAGAAACAAGGACTTATGTAATGCCTTGATCTTCATGGATATCTGAAAGATTAAAGAGTGTGAACATTGACAAAACAAATTTAAGAGTACAGAGTATTTGTACCTGAAAATTATCTGTCAATATATATGCATACTTATAAACATGAGCTATACAAACAACTTAGTATTGGATTTTTTTTTCTTTGAGAGACAGAGAGTGAGAGAGACAGCAGACACCTGGGTGAGTGGGGGAGCGGCAGGTAGAGGGAGAGAGAGAATTCCAAGTAGGCTCCATGCATAGCACGGAGCTCAACATGGAGCTCAATCTCATGACCTGGGATCCCGACCTGAGCCCAAATCAAGAGTTGGATGCTTAATGGACTGAGCCAACCAGGCATCCTAGTATTGGATATTTATTAAACAATGCACCACACGTGGTGAATGTGACAGCGTCACTCCAAGATTCTTGCAGTAAAGTGCTATATCTAGTTTTACCTTCCAGCATTGGTGAATATGGAATATATTCATGAGTCACTTACTCCTTTAGTGAGACAGAGACCAAATGAATTTTGGTTATTCTAGTGGTGGGTGTCAAAGATTGGGTAGGTGAAGCGCGGGAGGGTGGACAGAGAGAGATTACATAATATTTCCAAACCAATCAACTCATTTCCAGAGTTTGGCATTGTAAGCAGAAATAACATTTCTGGGGGCGCCTGAGTGGCTCAGTAGGTTAAGTGGCCGACTTCGGCTCAGATCATGATCTAGTGGTCCGTGAGTTGGAGCCCCGCCTCGGTCTCTGTGCTGACAGCTCGGAGCCCGGAGCCTGTTTCAGATTCTGTGTCTCCCTCTCTCTGACCCTCCCCCGTTCATGCTCTCTCTGTCTCAAAAACTAAATAAACATTTAAAAAAAAATTAAGAAAAAAAGAAATAATATTTCTGGAGGCTACCGTTTCTCTATTGATTAGAAATAATTTGTTTTTTATTCAGTTCACATGAAGAATGCATAATAAATGACATTTTCTAGCTATTTAAAAACCAATAATCTTCAAAATGGAACGATTGTTATATGACTAGCAGAAAACAATTGAGTTAATAGCAATTTAACCAAAAGCAGTTTGACTCAAGTCTAACTGAAAAATTAAGTTAGACATGATGATCAAAAAAATTGTGTTGTGGTATTGATAACTTTGGTGAGCAATGGGTAGACTTGCAACATTTTGAGTACTTTTCCTACATTTTATTCATCTTGTAAATTTTTAAATTTTATTTAATATTTGTTTTATAATGATAGTTAATATTTTGATTATCATTTTTATATTATTATACTCTCTGAAATGCCAAAAGTTGAAAAAAATTGAAATATGCCAAACTGGTAGGTTAAATTCTTAACAATCTATTAATAATTTATCACCTATATTTAAAAAAAATTAAAAATTATCAATAGTGTTTATGCAAAAAGTGTCACAAAACTTTCTATAATGAACTAAAATTAAAAATATTTGAAACATAAATGTTTGGGAATAACTTTTTCACCAAACTATTCTTACAGCTAAGTGTCAAATTAATCAACTTGCTGTTAGTACATTTTTATTCTAATAAATTTCCATCAGACATTTTAAAAAAATCAAATAATATCATTGCATTCTTAAAGGGAATTAGTCTTTTTTGGGGGGAATTAGTCATTTTTATGTAAAGAGATAAAGTAGATATTTTATGATCAGTTATATATGTACTTATAATTCTTAATTAATTGTGAATATGTTAAATTATTATATATAAGTCATTTGTTAAAGACTTAGTATGAAGATTATTATAATTTCCCTGAAAATATTAATTCATATTTTTAAAAGTAACTTATCATCAAGTGATTAATATTTCACAAATTTCCAACATTAAACTGTATTACCTCATGACTTCTTAATTGAATGCATTGATTTGGTATCAAATATAAACTAACATTAATGATGTAAATAATTTTTAAAACTTTTTATTTAGAAAAAATTTGAACATATTTTAAAATTGAAATAACACGATGAATCCCTACCTACCCACTACCCAGCTCAAATAATTACCAACAATATCTCATTCTTATTTTGTCTATTCCCCCTCCAACCTATGTGATTTTTCTGTAGGTTATTACAAAGCAAATAGCAGATATCATATCATTTCACCTATAAGTATTCCAATATGAATCTCTAGTAGATAACAATTTTTAAAAAGCATTATTTAGTAGTATTTCATTGCAAATAATGTTACAAATAATGAAAAATAACATTACAAATAATCATATCATCTACTAATCTGTGTTCTATTTTCTTGTCTAAAAAAATGTCTTTTTAGTTATTTGAATTAGGATCCAATATTAAGCCATGCTTTGTTTTTGGTCAATATGCCTCTAAACACCCTTTTATAATGGTATATATTTATTGAGATATTGGTTCATTTGTCCTGAAGCATTTCTCACATTCTTGATGTGGCTGATTATATTTACTTATTCTTCTTTTCCCCATATCTCTTGTAAATCAACAATGTATAGCTTTGATTAGATTGAAGTCAACTTTTGGGGAAAAAAATACTTCATAAATGTTGCTATAGGTATAGCATCTTCTGTCACATTAGGAGCATTAATAGTAGGTATCCCATTTGTAGTGATATTAAGATTGATCAGTGGGCTAATGTACTGCCAACCTGATAAAGTTTCCCCATCAAACTTTGACTCAATGATTTTAACCATCAGTTATAGTGGTGGGTGGCCTAGATCTATTATTTCATTACAGGCTGCCATTGGTGATTTGCTAAATTTATAATTCCTTCTGTATTTATAAGAATTCTTTGATAAAGAAAATTCTCACACTAATCAACCATTTGGTTACTATTGTAGGTTGATTTTCTTGGGAGGGAAACACTAAGCTGGAGATTAATATGCAGGGCATTTATTAGGCATTGCTTTCGGAATCAGTATCTTTGGAAGGGAATTTAAAATTTCCAGGTACAACAAGCTAGATACCCCATCATATGTGTGAGAATCACATTCTCTCCCATATAGAAAACTGACATTGGTGGTGCAGATTTGTGTTGTCTATGATTTTAATCTTTGGAAGTTTGGCTACTTTTATGGACCTTATTTTTGGCTTCTTTTGCTTCTGTCTTCCCACTGTAGAAGATGAGACATGTCTCTATCTGTCTATCTGTCATCTATCTATCATCTATTGTCTATCTATCCATAATGCATCATCTATCTATCTATCTATCTATCTATCATCTATCTATCTGATCTATATCAGTCATCTATCATCTATCACCAGGGAAGCCTATAGCTGTTACAGCTAGCTTGTAACTGCAGATTAATCATTCTCAGTTTTTATTTTTTTTCAGCATGTCACTTGAGCTCACCCACTTCTTTTCCTTATCATTACTATTTCTCCCATGTTTCTCAAATGTCTGACACATTGCATGACCAAATGTTTTTTTTTTCATCAGTACACCAAACCAGTGAAAATATCATCAATTCCACTGCTACCTTGTGCCATAGTCTGTGTTCCACCTGCCTTCAGTAAACAAGTTCCCATGCCAAATGGAAAACAAATGATTCAGGTCTACAATCCTCTGTTAGTATTTGCTTCCTTACACCACACATGGCAATAACTGCTTGCAGCGGGTTGGGACTTTTGGGAAGCAAACTATGTGATGGATATTAACATCCAGGGCATT